TGTCAAAAGTAAAACTCGACGATTTGTAAGTCTTTATAAAGAAGTTTTTAAAAAATAGTTCAATTAATTTTAGGATTTGCTTCCTTCTGTTATCCAAAAAACAAATAAGACTTATTTGGACTTGTTATTTGAATATTTCTGGTTAAGACTAAAATTTCCGGATAGTGAACATGGCATTTTTACAGAATTATAATTCCTTATAAATCTGGATTTCATGATATTGTTAAAAGTACAACTCGGCGATTTATAAGTCTTTATAAAGAAGTTCTTAAAAAAGAGTTGATCGCATATGTCTATAAAAACATATATATGTGTGAACTTGAGAAGTCTTGTGAGGAATGCTAGGCATAATGAGTATAAGGAATTCAAAAATGATTTATAAACGTTTATAAACTGATTTATAATGGCTTATAGGTTAATTTTTCTAAAGTCCCTCAAAATAAAATCAAAACAAAAAAGGCATATCCATTGAAAGATCCACGTCCTTCAACAAAGGATATATTGCCTCAAACCCTCTTTGTAAACTGTACAGAGACCATGCTTGTGATCAGAATCAAACAAACTCATTTCAAAGTTTAGTTTTATAAATACTACTAGTTACCTTAACTCTTGTGGATGGAGAAGGGAATGTGAGAAGCACCAAGATCTCAAATGAAGGAAGTGGAATCAGCAGCTCGCCCTCCCTAAGAGCTCCATCTACAAGTATGGTCGGAGCCCTTGGACTCGACAACATCCTAATTAAGAGATGTCTGAAGAAGATGAGATAGAAGAATGTATTAAGAAGCCAACTCTGTAACATTTATAAAGCGTTATAAATATGTAATTCTTTGATTACACAAACCACGTTCTTGTTCAGAGTCTCTCTTGCTTCTTTAAATAGCTCACCAACCTCGTCGATCCTCAAAATATGAACGCAAGCCAATCACATATCATTCCTACGCATCAGCACTCACTTTCAAAAACAAGATTCAAAAAAATATGCTTTCGTAACTCAGCAAACTTATGCTCCATCTCCACTGTTTCTTTAGATATTATACACAAAACAAGACATACAAAAAAATGAATCTCATTAAGTACCAAACAGAATGTTACACTACCAAAACACCAACCTTCCACCTCATGTACTGCACTAAACCTTGCTAGTCAAACTACTAATAGTAGCATTGTTTTCCCTCAAGAAAGTGAGGTACTTGATATGCATATCACCACACATATTCTCCACAGTATCCTTTAAATCCAAAAGCTTACATCACACCTTTGTAATTCCCTGCAACATTACCAGATCAACCAAGAGAAGAAGTAATCATGGAATAATCTTACTCTTAAGTTAGTAATTAAATATATGTTAAGCTCTATGTCTTTTGATTGCTAACAGATCAACAGTAAAATTCGAAAGAACCCAATTTATAAGGTCTTATAAATCTGAGAGTTGAAAACTTCATGAGAAAAACTTCGTCTTCCTTCCCAGAAACAGATCGATTTTGAAGCTACAATTATAGAAAAAGACAAAAATCACCATATAGTATCCTCTTACCTTTGTTAGCATCTCTTCGGCGTCGGGAAAGAGATCGTCTCTTTCATCTGAGCTTGTAGAGTCTGTCAGCTTCGCCAGAGAACTCTTCAGCGTCGTCAGATCTCACTGGAAACTTGTTAGCGTTCGTCAAATCTCGCCGGGAACTTGTCAGTTTCATCAAATTCGATGGAGAACTTGTCAGCTTCACCAAACCTTGACGGAGAACTCGATAGCTTCGTCAAAATATAGTCGGTGTCGTCACTCCGGTAAAAAATTGAAATCTGATGGATCAGAGATTTGCCGAAATCGAGAGAAGAAAGATCATAGTATATAGCTTTATTTAGCCAGAGGTACAATAGTATTTTGGCTATTAAAATTTTAATGGTAAAGTTTGTTAGTGTAAAGTTGAAAAGTGGTATCTTGAAAGTGTTATTTCTGACAATTTCTCATATTTTATTTAATTAATAAAATTAATATAAATGAATTTTAATCTATTATTGGGAGCATCAACCTGAGAACAGCCTATGTTGAACCATACGCTCAACCACAGTGTCACAGCAGATTACTGTTTGTGTTAACTATTGTGTCTTACTTATATCCAATATAATTTGTTCGTATATTTCTGATTATCTAAGTGTTAGTTCCATAAAATATGTATAATTTCTAAGAAATTGTGTTTAATTATCTTAATTATTTTTATTGTGTTACAAAAATTTAAAATTTCAAAATAAAAATTTTGAAAATAAAAAAAAACATTTTAAAATTTTTAAAATAAATATGAAAAAATAAAAATAAAATCCAAAAAATTATTATTAAAAGTTTGAATTTGAAAACATGTAATTCAAAATTATTTTAAAAATATTTATTTTATTTTTATTATTTATTATCTATTTAAATAATTGTTTACATTTATAAAACTATATTAAAAACTATAAATATTTTTAAATAGTTTCAAATTATATTTTTTCAAATTCAAACTACTTAGAATTTATATATTTGTAGAACTAACTTCAGATAATTATAAATATATGAACATATCATATTATATTAAATATAAATAAGACACAGTAGATAACACAACCAATAATATGCTTTGGCACAACGGTTGAACGTATGGTTCAATATTGTCCGAATACTCCACCCAATAATAGCTTATTACTATTACTTTTTATTAATTAACTAAAACGTAATAGCCACGTTAGCAGCATATGTTACCATTGACTAATAGAGAAACGATCAATGTATGAATAAACCTAAATATTTTTGTTCACAGTATTTATGTACTGATCGAGACCAAACCATGACTATCTGTTGATGTATGGGATGCATCTTGGTATAAAAGGATGTCCTAGGCGTTGGTTTCAGAGATGTCCATCAAAAAGGGTCCATAGAAAGTGTTTGATAAACTATATCAACAAAAGGCTCCAGAATGTAAAAAACATGAACAAGTAATCCTTACCAGTCGTCAAATCATGAATAAAATAACAATCGTGTGGTTAACATGAATAGATAAAAGGATAAACTTGAAAGACGACATTGTAAAAAATTATGAAGAACAAGTTTATATGAAGTATACATTGTCCATGTGTGATTTAAAGGTCTTCTATAGTGCCATTGGGAAGAGAGGTTGTAGTTTCGTACACTAGGAACACATCACGAAACAAGTTCAAGCCAAAGCTACATGACTATTAGCATCATTATCAACAATCCAACAACCAAGAGGTGAGACAGGATAAAGAAAAGAAATGCATTGATGCTGAAAAGTAAAAGTATGAAAAGATTAGTAGAACGAAACATAATTGAAACATTACCAGCAGTAGAGATTGAAGCCATGAAAAATCGTTGCTGATGGAGAAGGGGATGACTTGTCTGAGATACACTTTTGAGCAATAAGCTGAGTAAGCAAACTTTGAACATGAGATGTGGTAAACTGGTTGATATATCCAGAGTAGATGTAAAAACCACATTTGTTGTGACAGTAGTCTTAAGAGACTGAGACTGCGGAAACTGATAATGAAGTGAAGAGTAAGACTTTGAAGTGTTTTGAAAATTTTCTCAAGATGAAAAATTCGGAAAACGTTGATTCATCTTATCACCAGGAAGAAAACCATTGATATATCATATCTGAATTGTATGCCGAGTGCGATCACAGTGTGTGCAACCCGGTTTCTGATGGAAGTGTATCCCCTCGAAATAATCTGCACGTGCTGCAACATATTCCAGTGTAATAACCAGATTCCAAAGAGGAATAAAAAGCTTGCAAAAAGCTTTGATACCATAAATTTTGTGTAACATAAAATACGTTCTTGAATAGTATTTTATGTACAGAATTCAGTATAGGTAAACTAAACCATGAATCTAAGCAATGGTTAAGCAAAAAGAAACGTAACTAAAGATCAATTTGGTACTCTAATATGAACCTCTCTCTCTCTCTCTCTCTCTCTCTCTCTCTCTCTCTCTCTCTCTCTCTCTCTCATTACTTGAAAATCCAGGCAAAACTCTCTTGCAAAAAAAACAAGGCCTGTGCTTTTGTGTGTTCCCATGTCGAATCGTTGGTTTCAAGGTGACTAACTCACAAGACTAGCCTTTTTGGACTAATTTAACCGAAACATGTCGATATTTGCAGTAAGAGCAGTATTATCGCTAGAGAAAATGATATGCTTAGGCATTGGGGTCCCATCACAACACGAAGCTCCGACGCCTGTATGCGTTTGGCTTTTGCTGTTGTTTCAACTATTTACAGACCCCACTAACATGTGACGGTCTGCGGTTGGTTATTTTAAAAAAAAATTTAAGTCCCGAAAAAAAAAATTACACTTTTTTTGAGTTCCACGATAATACTGCTCTAAAAACTCTTATGAGCGACAAAAAGAAACGTAAGTCGTATTAGAAACTGTACGTGAGGGTGAAACGTAAACGTAGTCAAAGTGTAAGCGCCATGAGAAAACAAGGCGTACGTTACTCTCTCTAATGCTTTATTTAATGTTCTAGTTATCTGTTAAGTACTCCAAATTGTTTTGCCATACAAATTAAAAAGCGTTTCAAACTTTTAATTGCTAATTATGTTGACTAATATGTACATGAATTAAAATTTTATAATATTCAAAAACCATTGAAGAAAAGTGTATCTTGCAACTGAAAAAGTTGTTCCTTTTCAAATTGAGAGAATCGAAAAAGTTTTCTTGTTTTCATCAAAAGCAATGGCTCTGTTTCATTTTACTTGGTATTTAAAGTTAATACACATAGATTAAAAAATGTAAAATTTTATTCAATTTATCTTAGTTAAATAAAAATTTCATTAAATAGAACTAATTTAACCAATAAAAAATATACATTATTTTATAATTGGCTACAAATCTCAAACAACATTAAAAAAATATAGAATAAAGAGAATATCATTTATTATGAAAGAAATAAAAATCTTAAAAACCAAGTAAATTAGGGAGTACTATAAATGATAATTAGCAAATAAAAAATATGAATAAAGATGGGCTTCTGGGATTTCCCTTTCATGGAAAAGGTACAATCCTTTCTTTCTCTCTAATTATATTTTCTAAGATTCAAAGATTGCGTTTATATCATGGATTTTAAGATCCTGAAATTGCAGAAATATATGAACTTTCCTATTTGTGTTTCAAAATCTGAGTAATCTTTAAGAATACTGATCGAATTCAACAGGCGTTCCGGTTTGAACGACTAGTAGATGGAGATGCAAGGAGAAGGAAGAAGAAACCATCTTGGTTAAATCCGGTTTCTCACGGATGCTATACCATCGACCGGTTAAGCAACATCGACCGTTCATCGAGTGCAGATTCGGTTACCGTACAAAGAGAGCAACAAAGTGAACAAGAGCGTGAAGTTTGGTTCTTTGCAGTGTCAGATGCTGGAACCGGGAAAGAGATTGTCAAGTATATGCAGAGCCATATCTTCGATAAGGTCCACGATGAGGTGGTTGAAAATTTTAAAATTCTGTAATTTTTAATCGAATATTTGATTCTTTATTAACAAACTGAGTGCATGATTGGGGGGTATAGCAGCATGGAGTTTTGAGAAAATGTAAAGAGGTCATGAGAAGAGCGTACGCTGAGGAAGACAGAAGCAGTGGCTCGGCTGCTTCGGTGACGGTGGTGAATGGAGAAAAGCTAGCTATCGCGAGTATCGGCGGCCATAGAGTGGTGGTTTGCAGAGACGGCGAGGCTTATCAAATCAGAGCTAAATCCTCAACAAGAAATTGGTCTGATTTTATTTTCCCAGGTTTGTTCCCTTAAACCATATATAAGACTGGTTAAATCCGGTTCAGATCGGTTTTTTACTTGTGTAAGAAGAAAATGAATTCAGTTTTGCTTTACTTGTGTAATCTCAGTTTGTAATCAAGGAGAGATAGAAGATGAATCAGATTCAAGAGATTCAGAGCTTGCTTTGGTTACAGAAAAGATTAGTTCAGTTACAGAGTTTATCATTATCGGTAGCTCTGGGATTTGGGAGGTAATTAATTAGTTCAAGAATCAATCAAAATACATAGACTAATGAATTAGCAAAAGAAATGTTAATGATCTGTTTTGATTGTGGTGCAGGTGATGAAGATTCAAGAAGCTATTAACCTAATCAGACACATGGAAGATCCTCAAGAAGCTGCAAAATGTTTAGCCAAAGAAGCTTTAAACAGAATTAGCAAAAGCGAAATTTCTTGTATCGTAATTAGGTTTGACTAAACCGGGTTTCTAACCGGCAATTCGATAGATAAATATAAATTAAAAACCAAACCGTTTTCTTTTTTATTACAAAGAAACATAATCAAGTACTCAGTAGCCAATAGAATTGCGGCGGTCATAACATTTACTTGAAACTCTCTCAACATTCGACAAAGCTTGAAATCCGGCCGCCGTACGACCGCCATTAAGTTTCTTCAGAGGGCTGAAACCGGCGAGCTTAGAGCAGATCCCGCTGATCAGCGTCTCTTCGCCGGCGGCTCGGTTCCTCTTGTCATCCTCGCCGATCAATAAATCAGACTCGGACAAAGCTTCTCTTTCGGTTAGTGTTGAACCGGAGCTCTTCCTAGGAGAGGATGAGTCCGGTGAAGGAGTAGAGAAACATGAGGAGTTTCCAAAGCCATTGATTTGGGAGGTGATCTTGAGAGCTTTAAGACGAGCTTCTCTTAGTTCTTCTTTTCCTAGAAGCAGAGTTTGAATCTGATCTGCCTTCTTCTGTACCTTAGCTCCCCAGTCAAATCTAGTGAGGAAGAAATGAAGTAAATTAATTGAAATTTCAAACTATTTTTGTCAAAGGCGCGGTAACATATTTTTTAGGGGTTATATATATATTTTTTTAGAGAAAGTGGTTAAAATCATTAATATAATATTAAAATATGCATTATAAAAAACACTACAATAGAAAAAAATAGCATCTAAATCAATCAATCCCAAAATTAAATTTAAATTCATAATTATGTCTTGTTTAACAGTTCTTATCGGATTATATATAGCATTTCTAGATATACTATAGTATTTCATAAATATAAATGTCTCCAAAATTATTTTTTCAAATTTAGAAGTTTCATTAAGGATTAAAATATAGTTACTTATAATTATTTGTAATAAATGAATGAGTGTAATTTGGTTAAAGTTTAAAAAGATTAAATATATACTACTGATGTGATTTGTAGTTGTTATATATGCTATCAACAGTTCCATTTATTTTTACCGCACCAAATTTATAGTAATTAAATTTAATTATTTAAAAAAAAAAAATCACAACTACTGAAATAACTTACAACTATACAAATAATTTATATAGCCGAATATCCACAATAATTTTTGAAGTTATTAATAAAATGTAAAGTAAAGTTTGAAGATTTTTTTTCTATAATAAAATTTATAGAATTATAGTCATTACCAATCGGATTATCCTAAGTAAGAAATGTTCTAGATCAATGATTACCAAAGATAAAGTTCTAAATCAAAATTAGTATCTTTTACACAAAGATGATGAAAATGAATTTCAAATTAAGCACATATCCCACTCTAGAATATCTAAAATAGATGTTTTGGGAAATTAATTAATATGTACCCTTTTTCGTCAACGTATTTGAAGGTTGAGAGGAACCTAATATGATCCAAGTCGTAAAGAAAATCATGAGGCAAATGAAGGGGACCATGTGTTAATAAGAACTCCAACAACACCATTGCCTTGTAAGCTTCTCTCCACTTCTTCATCTCTCCTTCCCCCTTTCCTATTCTGTTTTCAAATTTGTTGTGTAATGTTAAGCTCACGAATGATCAATCTCCACAGAAACAAACTTAAAGAAATTTTACCAAAAAAAAAGAAACAAAGCAACTTAGAGAATTAATTTATTCATTACTTCCTGTGAAGAACATCCACAATTCTCCAATAATCCACTGTATTAAACGATGCATTGGCTATTTTAGTCATCGTTTTAGCATCTGGAGAAGAAGGATCATCGTTTGTCACTTCTTCTACTAACCTAGATAATATTACCAACAAACCAATTTCTATTTAAGAGACTTAATAATCATTAATGTGTATTAGGATTACTTAGCTAATTATAGTTTTAGCCTTACAGCTCAACTTCGATAACATCGGTGAGAACAAGTCTAGCAACATTGTACTTGTCATGAAGAAACAAAGACGCTTGTTTCTTGATTTCTCCAAACCAAAGTGTTCCCATCAAAATTTCCAAAGAAAATCAAAATTGAATATCAATGTTGTCTCCACAGATCACTTATATGTTAGCACAGCACCAAGCATTCTCATGAATAACCATTGTTTTAGCTCAGAGACTTCAGGAGAAGTCAACAACTATTAATAGGTTGTGAGTATTTGACCAACTGTAATTATGCATTAGACAAAGTACTTGTTACAAGTTACAAAATACATATACACCACTTTATAAATGTCTTATATCAATATTAATAACAGAAACACTTTTTATCTACTTGCAAGTAGTGTAGATTAAAACATTACATTTATTTAATTTTATGTTATGTTACATACAACAAATTTAGTTATTATTAAATAAACACATAATCAGTATAATATTTAAATATATTCAAAATAAGATATCAAAAAGATACTCTTAACTACTTTTTCAGATTACATTTTAACAATATCTTTAATGTATATTTATTTTAAAATTAATTATTTATTGTTTTAAAATTATATTAATAATAAAAACGTAAAACAATATTAAATTAAATTACAAATGAATATTAACTCATTTTTATTTATAAATAAGAAATAACCTTCTATAAAATTTATATATAAATATTTCATATTTGTAACTAAAATTTACACAACATAATAATTATGATATAAATTATTCTACTTTATAAATTATAAACTAAATGAATTACTTTTTTAGAATAACAAAATACTACCATAAGATATTTAAAAAACAAATAATTTTATATTTTAATATACATATCTAAATTAAAACGTTAGGATATAAAAATTTAATATTTAATTATATATAACTGTTACACGAAAAATAATAAACAAATTCTTCAAACCTCCGCCAATACATAATAATATAATTATCATAGATAAAGTCTTAAAATCGTTTATATATATAATTTTTTATAAAACAAATATTAATAATAGCTACTATTAATATTTAATTATATGATGAAACATGTAATTACTGATATTTTTATGATTATCATTTTACGGGGTATTCCAATAAACAAACAAAATATTTATCAAATATAAAATTAATTTAACAAAATATAAAACATAATTTAAGTTATGCTTATGAGTTCAAGTATCTATTGAAATACATGTCGAATATTTGAATCAAAGCTAATTTATATCACATCATAGGTGTCATAATTTGTAAGTAGGCATGTTTGTAAGTATGAATCAAATTTAAATATAACACGTCGGGTTTGGTTCTAATTTGTACACATCCTAAAACCAATAAAGTAACCATATATCGTTCGGATTCGGGTTATATTGGTTTGGAAATCTAAAATCTAAAACCAAAACAAAAAAAAAATACTTATTTTTTAGATTTGGATATTAAAATACTTATTTAAAATTTAGATAACTAATTTTAAATATCATTTAAAATAAATAAATATATAACTAAATATTTAAACTAGATATTTATGTTTCAAATATTTATATTTATGATTAATTTGGACATTCAGATTGATTCAGATTTTTTCTAGATTTTTCGGTTTTTGGATTATTTGTTAGGGTCTGCCTAATAACACTTTGATTTGGATATATTTTGTACCACCTACAAAACTAATTCTGATATATTTAGATTTTTGATCGGTTACGGATTCAAAAAAAATTGTTTAGATTGAGTTTATACATCAAGTTATAGATTTTATGCACATGTCTACTTTATATAAAACAAAAATGGATCATATAAAATTTTCAGTGAAAGATTCACTACAAGAAAACTAAGCATTTACTAGGAAACTTTACTAGGAAAATAATTCCTCGTAAAATTACTACGAGTTTATTTCGAGTTTACTAGGAAACCATGTTTCCTCGTAAGGTTCTCGTATACTTACGAGAAAACAGTTTCCTCGTAAAGTCGTAGTATACTTACGTGGCCCTTACGAGGAAAAATTCATTTTCCTCGTAAACCCGTAGTAACTCATTTCCTCGTAAAGTCCTAGTAATTGCTTACTACGAAATTAGGGGGAATGGGTTTTGTTACTACGAAATTAAGAGGAACTAGATAGAAAATATCGAATTTAAATTTTGTACCTACTTTTACTAGCAATTTCCTAGTAAATTCTCATATTCGAAAATTTCTATAAATACCACCATATGTGATTCATTTAAAACACACCAAACAAATAGAAAATACTTAATTCATAACTGAAAGGAGTTCACAGTCAACATAATAGTTTATTATCAACTCTTCATAGCTTTTCCTCAAAGAAATAGCTTGGGGGTTTTCTTCAGGTAGATAGTTCGAGGAAAGCTATGTGGGGTTGATAAAAACCGTTCCGATGACTGTATACTTCTTTTAATTTTTTTTTTAATTTGTGATTTGGGGTTTAGGAAGATGTATAGGTATAAGTTATGGAAGTTGGTTTAGGTTTAGGGTTTAGGTTTAAGGTTAGGGTTTAGGGAATTTAGATTAGGTGGTTAGTTTAGGGAACTTATATTAGGTTATTTAGTTTTGAAAATTTGGGGTTTAGGTGTAGAAGAGGTTAGGAGTTTGGTTGTAGAAGAGGTTAGGAGTTTGGTTGTAGAAGAGGTTATAAGTTAAGGAAGTTGTGGTTTGGGGTTTCGAGTTTAGGGATTTACAAACTCTTTCCTCGTAAAGCCCTAGTAAGAGAAAACGCGGGCATAGTTGTTTCCTCGTAAAGTCCTAGTAATAACATTACTAGGACTTTACGAGGAAAAAAACGTGGGCATAGCTATTTCCTAGTAAAGCAGTTTCCTCGTAAAGTCTTAGTAATAACATTACTAGGACTTTACGAGGAAAAAAACGCGGGCATAGCTATTTCCTCGTAAAGGCCTAGTAATGTTACTAGGGCCTTACGAGGAAACAAAATTCCTTATATAAACTCGAGCAATCCGATTTCTCATTTGTAGTAAGCTTTTCTCTGAATTCTCTTAAGGTTCTCTTTATTTCCTACTTAGGTGGTTAGACTAGGGAATTTAGATTAGGTGGTTAGATTAGGGAATTTTGATTATGTGGTTAGTTTAGGGAATTTAGATTAGGTGG